GGTTTGACTAGTTCATTACAAGTGTATTTGGTCTGTTGAGGCTGTTTGTATATTAGTGACAGCTAGTTGAACGCGACAGGGGTCCAAATGGACCATAATATAGTGAACTAGTCCATGTAGTACATGGTTTGACTAGTTCATTACAAGTGTATTTGGACTGTTGAGGCTGTTTGTATATTAGTGACAGCTAGTTGAACGCGACAGGGGTCCAAATGGACCATAATATAGTGAACTAGTCCATGTAGTACATGGTTTGACTAGTTCATTACAAGTGTATTTGGTCTGTTGAGGCTGTTTGTATATTAGTGACAGCTAGTTGAACGCGACAGGGGTCCAAATGGACCATAATATAGTGAAAAAGTCCATGTAGTACATGGTTTGACTAGTTCATTACAAGTGTATTTGGTCTGATGAGGCTGTTTGTATATTAGTGACAGCTAGTTGAACGCGACAGGGGTCCAAATGGACACAAAAATGGAAAAGAACGAGTATTGAGCAGTCATCAATTTTTTGACTTCAGAGAAAAGTACTCCCCAAGACCGCATGTCACCAGTGTGTGGGGATAAGTGGCCTAGCTATTCCACTGTTAAACGCTGGGCAGCTGTGTTTAAGGCTGAGAGAACAAACCCTTGATGATGAACCAAGGTCTTGACGTCTCTTAACTTCAATAAATGAAGATTCAATAAAGGAGAGAGAAAAATTCATACTGTCAGATAGACGTATTACTATTGTTAAACTTGAGGAAGACACAGGTCTAAGCCATGGATTCATTGAAACTATTATTCATGAACATTTACAAATGAATAATATATCTGATCGTTGGGAGGCAAAGTTTCTAAATTCTGATCTAAAGAAAAGAGAAAAGTTGGAGCTAATTGAGGAGGATTTCGTCAAATTCAAAGAGATTAGTAACGAGTGATGCGGGTCTACCACAATGATCCCGAGTTAATACGTTCATCCATGGAATGGCACCATTCCAATTCTCCGGCACTAAAGAAATTCAAGTCTTCAAAATCAGCGAAGGAAGTCATGGCCACTGTAGAAAGTCAAAAGACGACTACCGGTGCCTACAACGTCATGCATTTCAAGGATATTGGGAAAGGTCTGAATCTGTGGTATATTCTCCATTAAGCCATGGGGTAGGGAAAGGGGGAAGAAGGGGAGGGATGTATTCATATTTCTCCAGAGCTGAAGATAAGCTGCGTATTTGCAAAAAATACGCAAACTACATTTGTAATCAGAACATACCATTTGAGTTGCTTCCGTACAAATACGCATGAAAACACACTTCCACTCAATGGCCTAAAGTACTGGCAACCCAGTGAAGGGACGTGATTAAAGACGAAGACCAGTGAGTGAGTGATTTGGGTTTAACAGTATTCCAGTTATATCACGGCGTGTCAGCTTAATGTGGAAGGAAAGCCCGAAGTGATGCAGGTCTCAGGCGTTAACCACTTCGGTGAAACCCACGAGCATGGGTATGGTGCTGACAAACCTAGAAACATAATCGGGGCGAACCGGGATTCGAACCCATAATCATAGGTTTCTGGCGTGTCCAAGGGACGCAATTCTGCACAGAGAATCGCGGCGCGTTAAACGACTGGGCCACCCGTGCCCCACAGAAGAAGAAGAAGTTTATTTCGGTGGCACATATTGTTGTACACATTAAAAACAAAACTTGTCGCCATACATGACTCTAAATTCATTAAAATAACTCAGAATTAACATGTAATATATTATACAGTAGAGTACCCATATTACAAGCACATAACATAACTTTATGTACGCACAGCAAACTGTGCATTGTCAGTACATAGTATAACGATATGCTAACACAGTCAACTATACACGATATAGGCATACAGCATACATTCAATTGAACACAACATAGTATACACACACAGTTGTTGATATTATATCATACAGCTCACGGTTGTACATAGTACAGTATATTGCACGAAGCCAACTATACAAAATATAACTTACTTCACAGTTTTACACACTTTAGCCTGTTGCACATAGCCACTTAAACAAAATATAGCATGCTGCACACATAGCCAACGATATACGACATAGTGTACTGCGTACGTATCCACGTACGCACAAAATAGCATTCTGCATACATAGAAAATAATACACAATACATCATATTCCTCAAATAGCCAATCTTATACAACATAGCGTACTGCGTACGTATCCAAGACATACCCAGTCATATACAACATAGTGTACTGGCTATGTAACCCAGTATACACAATATAGCATATTGCACACATAGCAAATAATACACAACATAGCATTCTCCATACATACCCAGTCATATACAACATAGTGTACTGGCTATGTAACCCAGTATACACAATATAGCATATTGCACACATAGCAAATAATACACAACATAGCATTCTACATACATACCCAGTCATATACAACATAGTGTACTGGCTATGTAACCCAGTATACACAATATAGCATATTGCACGCATAGAAAATAATACACAACATAGCATTCTACATACATACCCAGTCATATACAACATAGTGTACTGGCTATGTAACCCAGTATACACAATATAGCATATTGCACACATAGCAAATACTACACAACATAGCATTCTCCGTACATACCCAGTCATATACAACATAGTGTACTGGCTATGTAACCCAGTATACACAATATAGCATATTGCACACATAGCAAATACTACACATCATAGCATTCTACATACATACCCAGTCATATACAACATAGTGTACTGGCTATGTAACCCAGTATACACAATATAGCATATTGCACACATAGCAAATAATACACAACATAGCATTCTCCATACATACCCAGTCATATACAACATAGTGTACTGGCTATGTAACCCAGTATACACAATATAGCATATTGCACACATAGCAAATAATACACAACATAGCATTCTCCATACATACCCAGTCATATACAACATAGTGTACTGGCTATGTAACCCAGTATACACAATATAGCATATTGCACACATAGCAAATACTACACATCATAGCATTCTCCGTACATACCCAGTCATATACAACATAGTGTACTGGCTATGTAACCCAGTATACACAATATAGCATATTGCACACATAGAAAATACTACACATCATAGCATTCTACATACATACCCAGTCATATACAACATAGTGTACTGGCTATGTCACCCAGTATACACAATATAGCATATTGCACACATAGCAAATACTACACATCATAGCATTCTCCGTACATACCCAGTCATATACAACATAGTGTACTGGCTATGTAACCCAGTATACACAATATAGCATATTGCACACATAGCAAATACTACACATCATAGCATTCTCCATACATACCCAGTCATATACAACATAGTGTACCGGCTATGTTACCCAGTATACACAATATCGCATATTGCACACATAGCAAATACTACACATCATAGCATTCTCCATACATACCCAGTCATATACAACATAGTGTACCGGCTATGTAACCCAGTATACACAATATAGCATATTGCACACATAGCAAATACTACACAACATAGCATTCTCCGTACATACCCAGTCGTATACAACATAGAGTATTGGCTATGTAACCCAGTATACACAATATAGCATATTGCACACATAGCAAATAATACACATCATAGCATTCTACATACATACCCAGTCATATACAACATAGTGCACTGGCTATGTCACCCAGTATACACAATATAGCATGCTACACACGCAGTAAATAACACACAACATAGCACATTGCACACATAGCATATACTACACAATATAACACTCATAGCCAGTCCTATACACCATAGCGTACTGAATACAAGCATAAACAATCTAGCATATTGCACACATAGCAAATAATACATAATATGGCATTCTGCACACGCAGCCAGCTATACATAATGTAGCACACTACACGCTCAAACTTCCCAGATAGCCATCTAAAGGATAAAATATATAAGTAGGTGGTAGAGATATTAATAGGTAAGGCTTGCATTCTTTCTGCGTTGGAACATGGCAGACACAATCGCCGCCAAGGATTGAGGTAGAGGTTCACACTGCATCAGAAAGACTAACTTGTCAACGTTTGAAAACTTGGGAAAGCGCGGATCTAGAATGGTAGATTCATGTGTAACAACAAGCACCATCTTCTAACGTCTTTTGGTATGACGCGGCTGGGGATCGAACCCATGGCTTTCAGCTCTCTTGGCAGACGCTCCAACCACTATAGGTCTGATGGGTGAGTGAGTGAGTGAGTGAGTATGGTTTTACGCCGCTTTCAGCAATATTCCAGCAATATCACGGCGGGGGACACCAGAGATGGGCTTCACACATTGTACCCATGTCGGGAATCGAACCCGGATCTTCAGCGTGACGAGCGAACGCTTTAACAACTAGGCTACCCGACCGGCCCTAGGTCTGATGGGAAAGCTGTCAGCATATGTAAAAATAATGTAACGTGAACGCAATATTTCAAATGTTGGAGACATATAATTATCTTGTTTTAGTACCGGTAATATGAGCATATATAATTATTCAAATACATATCCTTGATATCCGGAATGAGACATAACTTCGTAAGCCATGAAAACATTTGAAAATTTACAAATGTTTCTACACCTAAGGACAAGCCCATATTTCAAACCATAGTAAACCTAGGAAGGGGTCGGAAATGTCAGGACATAGCACATAGGGGTACAAAAAAACAAACCAGAAATGTATTTGAAATACTTTATGATTTAATATTTACTGGGGTAGTAACTTTTGAGTCCATGCTTGGAAAAGTCTGATAATCCGGTCATATCATTCATGAGAATGCTGCTTGTGAATACAATAATCAGAATCATATGTTTCAAAGGCTTCATTTGAAATAAACGCCCAAAGTTAGTTCATATCAGGAAACATACGCAAATTCGGCTGTAGCATGTATTCCCTATTGCATTTGCGTTTGTTTTAATTGTGTAAAACCCGGCTTTTCGTCCTGTGTATTAAAGCTCTCAAGTTAGACAGCATTGGCGCTGTAAAGAGGTCTTCACCTACTCAGTGAAACACTCGGCGAATTGTAGTTTTCGTCCTTAACCTGGCACAACAAACGGAAGTCACACAACACGATGGAGGGGAAACAAACCACGGGTGTATATACGGTAGGTTTTCATATAACGATAACTTGTCTAAGGCGTGTATACGGCGTGGCGTGGTCCGAATCAAAATCCCGATAACAATTTGAGGGAGTCTTGTCCTGACCCAGTTCGGCTAAGTTTGTAGATAGTGTCGTAACTGCTTTCGGGCGTCAAGTGCGACCCTACTTCAGTTACTAAATGTATTGCCGTTCCTGGTCATCATGGACAATTACGCCATGACTTTGCACTGGCCTTGTCCGCAGCGCAAGTTGTCTCAATCAGCATGCATACTCGCATAATAAAGAACACAATACCAGCTTTATACTCACATAGTTTTACTTACTCTCAGCCCATCTGTCAATACAGGACAGGATCAGACCGGCCAAACTCGTCACTAAATGGGGGAAACTTAGAACGATCGGGATTCGACTCGATCGATTACAAACCGCGCTCTCCTCTCCTAATGTTGAAGGTATCATTTTATAGTGGCCTCTGGCCTGTCTTTGTCACATGTCACAATACCTCATTTTCATTCGTTAAAAGTTAGATCTGACCATGAATGGATCATGTGTCGTAATCGGAAAAATACAGAAGCCTACGTGCCAGATTGCTCATCTCTCTATTGATTTTGTGACTCGCACCGGATCCTCCAAATGAAATATACCTTAAATCTCTCTGCTTGTTTCATTAACTAATGGACGATAACCTGGAACCAATGATAAATATGAAATGTTAAGAATACACTTGTGATATATGTGAAATGTCTTTTATCTATTGATTCCTTTCGCTCTAAGAGTTCTCTGTCACAAACAATATTTAATGCAACTCCTCATTGCAGCTATAACGGTTTTATTTGCTACCATTTCTAATGTTTCTGAGATGCATTTTAACCTTATAACAATAGCCATCTCCCGATCATGACCCAGACCTGGGGTAAAGGTCAGGCCTCATGACTGACCATTGCATTCTGGATTGTTTGTTTGTGGTTTAACGCCGTACTCAGCAATATTCAAGCTGTATGACGGCCGTATATAAATAACTCATGCTTGCCGTAAGAGGTGACTGTGCTTGTCGTAAGAGGCGACTAACGGGATCGGGTGGTCAGGCTCGCTGACTTGGTTGATGCATGTCTTCGTTTCCCAATTGTGTAGATCGATGTTCATGATGTCGTCAATCACTGGATTGTCTGGTTCAGACTCGAATATTTACATACCGCCGCCATATAGCTTGAATATTGGTGAGTGCGGCGTTAAACAACAAACAAACAAACAAACAAAAGCATGGCTGATATGATAATGCTAATTTTAACTTTAGGGGTACATGACATAAATATGAAACACATTTCAGAGACAACAAAATGTTTTAGTTTCCTTCAGTATGACAAAATTATGAGTGAGTGAGTGAGTGAGTGTGGTTTTACGCCGCTTTTAGCAATATTCCAGCAATATCACGGTGGGGGACACCTGAAATGGGCTTCACACATTGTACCCATGTCGGGAATCGAACCCGGGTCTTCGGCGTGACGAGCGAACGCTTTAACCACTAGGCTACCCGACCGCCCCGACAAAATTATGAATGTAAACTTGTCCGTATCATTTTTATGAACATAGTTGTTTGGGTTTTCTTAGCTAAATTGTTATGAGACCATTAAATGAACAGGTGTCATTCTCTGTTTAGATGGAAGGTACGGTTATGCTGCCAGACCTCACAGGCCAGACTTTCGTCCATGAAAAGGACCGTCACGGACAGTCAGTCATGTACCAGATGTTTGAAGGACTGCGAACCAGCAACTACTTCCCTTTAAGCTGCTTACAGGAAATCCGAACCTTTAAGCTCCGACCGGACGATATCTATTTCCCGGGTTATCTGAGGACAGGTAAGAATACGTACCTAGAGAATTACGTACGAGCCACGAAGAGGTACAGATTATATGTCCCGAGTGAAGTTAATGTTAACGATCCCGAGTATTGTAATGTTAACTTCATACTGACATTGTCACCAAACTCGAAGTTCCATGTAGCTTGTGCTATGTGATCTTGTGGCGAAAAGCTATTAAAGATACCATAAGCTAACTTTATAAATGATAATTTCTTTTCTATACAGGAAGGGTTGGCCGGGCCGCGTATATCAAAGCTTTGGCTTGTTATAGAAACTATGTATGAGGATCTCGAATAGTAGTCTCGACTGAAGTTGCATACACTATCATCTTCAGGCAATCACTGGACGTGGGAAATGACTCAAATGCTGCTTCAAGGTAAAGCTGAAACTGTCCCAAGGTTTAAGGACCATCTGGAGTTGATCCCTGTTGAAGAACTGGTCAAGCATCCATCGCCTCGCGTTCTGACTTGCCATTTCTTCATGTCCCAAGCACCGCTTGATCTGAAGGAAAAGAAGTGTCGGGTCATCTATACAATGAGGGATCCTAAAGACGTAGCAGTTTCTCTGTACAAGATTCACTATGACCGACACCACCTTAACACTGTGTACCATGGAACGTTTGAAGACTTCCTGCAGCTGTTCCTTGAACATAGAGGTAACTATTAGCCAAGAGAAAAATACCAGTATCATCAACATAAATGTGTACACCACCCCTCTAGTCCGAAACCTTGTCTTTCCGGACAGTTGCTGTTTCATGTAAAGAGTACAAAGCAGGCATTACTTCATACAAATGAGTCCATAATCCAGACATGTATTAATCCGGATGATTTCATTGGGAACGGTACTGTCCTGATCAACGAGGTTTCACTACACTGACCTTCTGACGCCCATCAAACTCTTTTATACCAATTGCTCATAGGGGACTTTGCTTGATGTCTTGACATTTCACTGCATTTTACACATACCTGTGACTTCACTCTATTGTTTAAACAATCCATTATTTTTTATACGAATGGACAGTTGGTTGTCATTTATTCATGCCCACATTATCTTCAACCTACATTTGGGGGCACGGGTGGCCCAGTCGTCTGAGGCGCCGCGATTCGCTGTGCAGAGTTGCTTATCTTGGGCACGCCAGAAACCTATGATCGTTGGTTCGAATCCCGGTTCGCCCCAATTATGTTTCTAGGTTTGTCAGCACCATACCCGTGCTCGTGGGTTTCACCGAAGTGGTAAACGTCTGAAACCTACATCACTTCGGGCTTTCCTTCCACATTAAGCTGACACTCCACGATATGACTGGAATACTGTTAAAAGCGGCGTTAAACCCAACTCACTCACCCGACCTACATTTCAATATACATGTATGTACACTTGGAATCGACAGAACTATATCTTTGTTTTGAAACTCTAATGCATAATATCAAATTGTGTCAGAACGTTCGAATCAGTATTTGGTTTCACGAAAGACATCGGCTAAGGCCACACATGGCAGAGTGGAGTGAAATTACCCAATAAATATTTTTCAGGTATTTGTATGCTCCTTATATGTGTGCTTTGTTGTTACCTATTAGGATGTGTATGTTAAAATAATCAGCTAACCCTTTGATGAGAACAACTACAAAAACGGAAGCAACATATTATTTTTGGTTCCGGTAATTACATTTCCGACACCCCCATTCAGCATGTTATCAAATCGTGAAAGTGTCTAAAAAATACTTGTTTCGGGCCCTAAAAATGTAAAGTGCCCTGTTTCATGCATTGTAAAGGCCAAGAACATCGGATGTCGAGAACACGTTCCATGTGCGACTCACACAGTGTAAATACAGACTACAAAGAGTCTCGTGGGGTTCGGAGATTCGTATTCGTGAACCTACATCACTCGTATGTTCTCACTACCAAGTTTCAGCTCTGTGCAATTGTCCCTGGTGAGCAACAGTTTGCACTTGCATTATATTCCCTTTCCGTTTTTCTTTTAATCCCATGGCGGCCATTTTGCTTACTTTCAGTGATCAACAACGGCATATTTGATCACCTCAGAGATGCAGAAGCGTATTTCAATGAAAACCCTGATATACCAGTTCATTTCAAGTTATACGAAGACTCGATCAAGGTATTTGTCACACACATATCATAGATTCAGCACTGGATTCTTCGTCAAATTGAGAACTTTGCCCATGCTGATCATGGCATTACTAACTATTATTCATGCTGGCTGGTACAGATTCATATAAGCATGTAAAGATACATACTGGCGTGGACTGATGCACATTGGATGGTCATGATATATTAAAGTAAGATTGACCAATCAGAGAGCAGAACTACTGACCCCACATGAGCCCGTATACCGTCAATAAAAATCCAAGATGTTTGACCTAATATGAGACCAGCCATCTTGGATTTTCCAACACCCACCTCACATATTTCACATGAAAAGCCTTTTTACCGAAATTCGTTATTTGACACTGTTTTGTGTTTTAGTATCATTAATTGTGATGTGCAAGGACATTAATCTGTGTTTCGGATCACCTTCGTGACTCTATTGACAGAGATTATAGTCAAAATTGTCAACAAGGTTTGGCCTCTTTAGGTTTGAGGAGTAGTCTCCCTTTGGCCCTTAACGTCAACGAACTGTTGTAAATGTCAAGTTTATATGGATACCAGAGAGTGTAAACCTTTCGGCATAATATATTCGTTATGGTGTCTTTAGTTGTCGTATACGGTGTCATATTAGGTCAGCAGAAAAATACTGGACTCGGCTCACGCCTCGGCCAATATTTTTCTGCTAACCTAATATAACACGTTTGCGGCAACTAGACACCATAACTTACAGTATACATTTACATTGGCTGTAAGAAATGAACACCAGTTGATTCACAATTAAGGAATCTGGCTAGCTCCGAGAAACACGAGGTAGTACAGATCCGAGAAACGTGCATATGTCCTGATCCACTCCGAAAAATCTCTTCATGGGCTTTTACAAGAAGAAAGGCAATTTTGTTTCTCTGATATTATGGTCAAGACAAACAACTTAGTACTAATGAACATATACTACCAACACAATATGAGGGATAGTAATGGTGTAATGACGGTAAATGTCTGAAACATAGTGAGTGAGTGAGTTAATATTTAACGTCACATCGGCAATATATCAGCCATACCGTGACGAGAAGTTATACATTAAATATACATATATTTAGACTTTATAAAAAACTGTCATCAAAGGACAGTATGATAACTAGAATATCACAGATGAGATTTAAAACTAGTTGAGGAACATCTAAAAGCAACAAAAATAAGTAAACAACACAATATAAAAATGGGCTAAAGATCGTCAGTAACTAAAGGGAGATCACAACGAATGAAAAAATAATTTCGGGCGTGTAGATCAATATCTGGTGTGTCCATCATTTGGGCGATAGATGCACGACGCCTTGATGACATACTGTTGATGAACTTGGGTATGGTTACCCTTGGTATCGCATGCCCGTGAAGATCCGGGGTAGAATAGGTCTTCAGCAACCCATGCTTGCGTATAAGGCGACAAACGACAAATTGGATTGGGTGGTCAGGCTCGCTGACTTGGTTGATTCATGTCATCGTATCCCAATTGCGTAGATCGATGCCCATGATACTAATCACTTGATTGTCTGGTCCATACTCGATTATCTACAGACCACTGTCATATAATATTGCCGAGTGCTGCGTTAAACATCAAACAAACAAACAGCCTGCCATTCGGCGGGTGCTGGGTCTATGGAGGACGCTCCCTGCCCGAGAACATCATACATTGGGGACATGTCAGGGGACCTTGCGGGCCAGTCCAATAGCCGCATGCCTTCTCGTCGGAGGTAACTGGTGACGACCTGAGCATGATGTGGTCTTGTATTGTCATCTTGCACTTCCCAATTTCTGCCGAAAATTCAAGCGAATGGAACAACGACTGGACGCACAATTTCGCCGGCAAATTGCTGGCCATTAAAATGTCCGTTCTCAATAACAAACTTAGTTCGCCTGTCATGTGTTATACCGCCCCACACCATGACAGCACCTCCCCATACAAAACTTGGTCAAGAATTGTTCCCTGGCATACCGCATACAGCTCACCGCTACGTCGCAAACAACGTTTTCTGCCATCTGATGTGTAATTTCATTGTGACTAAATGTTGCGTCCGGATGTAATGCCGCGGTATTGCAAACGTACACCTCAACAATGACTACCATCAAATCCTTAGGTCCCATATGTTTGCAGGCTTCATAATATCGTCGTCGGGGGCACGGGTGACCCAGTCGTCTAAGACGCCGCGATTCGCTGTGCAGAGTTGTGTCCCTTGGGCACGCAAGAAATCTATGATTGTGGGTTCGAATCCCGGTTCGCCCCGATTATGTTTCTAGGTTTGTCAGCACCATACCCGTGCTCGTGGGTTTCACCGAAGTGGTAAACGTCTGAGACCTGCATCACTTCGTGCTTTCCTCCCATATTAAGCTAACACGCCGTGATATAACTGGAATACTGTTGAAAGTGGCGTTAAACCCAACCCACTCACTCACTCATAATATCGTCATGGAAACATGGCCTTGCTGGATAGATCTGGTCAAACGACTCAATCGTTATAACCATGTTAGTACATTATACATTTACACGTATTCGTTTTGCAGGACCCAGTTCAGGCTGTACAGAAATTGTCGGACTTTTTAGGACTCCCTAGAAATGACGATCTATGCAGGGCCATTGCAGAAAAATGTCACATGTCGAGGATGAGAGTGGACAAAGATGCCTATGCTGTGAAAGTTGACGGGGACAGTCTATTTTTCTGGAAAGGTAGATGTATGATTTATTTCAAAAATGTGTTTGCTCACTTTGCAGACAAAGCAAATGTGTATCGTACAGAAAATATATATAAAAGTTTCAATTTAAAACATATATCATACCAATATTGATAGTAAGTTGTGCTGAAATATTTTCCAGATGTATAAAAACATATATATAAAACAAACAATACAAATAACTTTAACCATGAGCAAAGTAAGTAATCTGTAAGTGGATGAGTGAGTGAGTGAGTGAGTGAGTGAGTGATTGAGTATGATTTGACGCCGCCTTAGCATTAGTCGAGCAATATCACGGCGGGGCTCACCAGATTGGTTGGTGAGTTTGTTGTTTAACGCCGCACTCCAGCTATGACGGCGGTCTGTAAATAATCGAGTCTGGACCAGACAATCCATTGATTAATATCATGAGCATCGATCCACGCATTTGGGATCGATGACATGTATCAACCAAGTCAGCGAGCCTGACCACCCGATCCCGTTAGTCGCCTTTTACGACAAGCAAAGTCGCCTTTTACGGCAAGCATAGGTTGCTGAAGACCTATTCTACCCCGGAAGGGCTCACCAGAAATAGGCTTCACACATTTAACCCGTGTGGGGGGAATCGAATCCGGGTCTGCGGCGTGACGAGCGAACACTTTAACCGCTAGGCTACCCCACTGCTCTGTATAGTAAGTACTTACTTAGGCACTAATATGTAGTTATGCAGAGTTACGGTCCTTTACTTGTCAGGATCTACTGATCGTTAGTTCGAGTTCGCGATTCGCCAACATTTTGATCCTTGTCTTTTAAGCACCCTGCCATTGCTGGGCGGTTGGGAAGCCTAGTGGTTAGAGCCTTCGCTCACTACGGCGAAGGCCGGGGTTCTATTCCCCACATGGATACAATGGGTGAAGCCCAGTTCTGGTTTCCCCCGCTGGTATATTGCTAAAAGCAGCACTCACTGAAGTCACTCACTCACCCTTGTTTTGCTCATGGTTTGATCAAAAGTTAATATCGTACACGACCTGAGGTTTTGCTCCCACATTAAGGGGGGCACGGGTGGCCCAGTCGTCTAAGGCGCCGCGATTCGCTGTGCAGAGTTGCGTCCCTTGGGCACGCCAGAAACCTATGATTGTTGGTTCGAATCCCGGTTCGCCCCAATTATGTTTCTAGGTTTGTCAGCACCATACCCGTGCTCGTGGGTTTCACGGAAGTGGTAAACGTCTGAGACCTGCATCACTTCGAGCTTTCCTCCCACATTAAGCTGACACGCCGTGATATTACTGTAATACTGTTAAAAGCGGCGTTAAACCCAACTCACTCACTCACTCCCACATTAAGCGGACACTCAATGATGTTCTGTTCAGTAACTCCATTCACGCGTTACCTGGGGCGGTCGGGTAGCCTGGTGGTTAAAGCGTTCGCTTATCACGCCGAGGACTCACTCACTCACTCATTTCAGGTGTGTCTGGCGAGTGGAGGAACTGGTTCACGGAGGAGATGCTGGAAGACTACTACCGTGTGTATGAGGAGAAGATGGCAGGATCCAGATTCTATGAGCGCTATAGCAGAGCAAATGACAATTGAAAACGCACGGCACATGGGTTCACATATGATAAATAGAAGTGACAAAACCCTATCCATAACCATATTAATATTAATAAATACACGCCACAAACTCATTTCCATAATCAGAAGAAGTCTACTGTACGATTCCGACGATATCATGCTCATGTGTTGACAAATCACTATCAAATAGTGATGATACCAGGTGTTCGAGAAGAGGTGATCGTATCCCCACTGGTGTCACCTGTCACAAACACGATGAAGAACCTGATCGGACGGACTGCTCACACAACTGCTTGATTATGGGTTAATACAGACGAATGCGTCAGAGTTATGTTGAGGCAGGAATTTCCTGACCACAGTTAATCATACTTCCATCTCACTTGATAGTTGATAAATTCATCACTAAATATTGAACCTGTTATACTCATTATCATCAGTCGTTAAAGAACCTATCTATTTGCCCAATCATGTACACCAGCCGGTGACACATGATATGGATTTCTCAGTATAGTGAGTGAGTGAGTATGGTTTTACGCCGCTTTTAGCAATATTCAGGCAATAACACGGCGGGGGACACCAGAAATGTGCTTCGCACATTGTACCCATGTCGGGAATCGAACCCGGGTCTTCTGCGTGACGAGCGAACGCTTTAACCACTAGGCTACCCGCCCGCCCTCTCAGTATAGAGATCTATTTTCAGTGAAATATGTTTATGTGACAATATGATATCTGCCAGTGGTTCGGTATGGTAACTTAAAACGCGAACAGGAAGATGACGTCATATGAAACACTATGACGTCATAATGTCCTTATTGGATGGCCGACCGACCGACATTTTTACATAATAGCGCCAATCAATTCCGTCCACATATTCCTCTGCGATATATTGGGGTAGCCCAGAGGGCCCGGGTTCGATTCCCCAAATGGGTAGTTTCTCTCCCTGATCATAGAAAGTAAAATTGAATAATGAGTCAACTCAAGTCTAGAATAATTTGGCAAGTCTAGATTCCATCAGCTCTGAAATTAAGGATTGTTCCGGGTTCCATTTGAATTGATATTATTCATTTTGTAGATATATATTATTAAATATGATAACTTATGTGACCAAAGGTCAGTCTACTACAAGGGTGCAATGTGCGTAGCCAAGTTCTGGTGCCCCCCGCCGTGATATTGGTAGTATATTGCTAAATGCGACGTAAAACCCAAGGCACTCACTCATGAAATAACTGGGTCACCCGTGCCTTTAATTTCAAATGTCTACTGAGAGATCGTACAAGTGTCCCCAATCAGCGATGTTGATAGTTCCAGGCTTTTAGCTCTCACCACAGGGGGCACGGGTGACCCAGTCGCGTAAGGCGCCGCAATTCGCTGTGCAGAGTTGCATCCCTTGAGCACGCCAGAAACCTATGATTGTGGGTTCGAATCCCGGTTCGCCCCGATTATGTTTCTAGGTTTGTCAGCACCATACCCGTGCTCGTGGGTTTCACCGAAGTGGTAAACGTCAGAGACCTGCATCACTTCGGGCTTTCCTCCCACATTAAGCTGACACGCCGTAATATAACTGGAATATTGTTAAAAGCGGCTTTAAACCCAACTCACTCACCCACTCTCGCCACAATAGACTTGAGAGTTGCCCGTGTCCCTCATGTGTATGGCTAACAGTTGTCATGTTAACGTATTATTACTCAGTCTGCTAATATGTTTGCATGATAATTTATCTAACATTCCAGCAAACTTGCTTTCGATTGCTATTAACCGTCACACATATAACTGAAAATCATGATGTACTATTTCAAACAAGAAAATAAAAATAATATGTATTTATCATGTTTGCTGCTCAAGACAAATCACTCCCCACTCGAAATCGTCAATGTGTGATTTTGCATCAAAATGCAAATATGAAATGTAAATTATGAAAATGAAAATAATGAGATTGTCCAACACATTGTTAGTGGATGCCCAGCTTTGGAAGTATCTTAGGCGACATGATGGAGTTCCTCGGTCATTTTATTACCGTCTTCGCCCTGCTTGTGGTTTTGAAAACAGAGTTCCATCCATGGTACAACCCATATGTAGAGGGCGTCATGGAAAATGATTAATACATAACTCTTTGGAATAGGGCCGCAAACAGCCTCAGACCTATCCAGGCCAACAAACCTTCCGTAAAAGGCGACTATGCTTGTTGTAACAGGCGACTAACGTGATCGGGTGGTCAGGTTCGCTGACTTGGTTGATGCATGTCATCGTATCCCAATTGCCTGGATCGATGCTCATCATGTCAATCACTGGATTGTCTGGTCCAGCACGGCAAGCATGAGTCGCTGAAGACCCACCCCGGATCGTCAGGGTCCGTTTTGTCATGGTAGAACGAAGATGAACATACTGTGTTGTCAACGTAGAGATACGTTACCTGTCGAGTGAACCAGGTCAAATTTAACAACTGATTTAACCACTGCCCGTTCGGCTGCAAATCCAATGTTCCATTCATTCTTCATTATTCGTGGAGCGAAATAATGAAATAGTCGTGTGTACAAAGCAAACAACATTGTCCTTGTCTCTGATTTGAAAGGATGTATGTATCATCAGTATGTTAATATGATAGCTGCTGTGGAAATAAGTGATATGTTCGGGGCATCATAGCTTGTGAGGACGGTTATATTGCAGGCTGCAATCAGGACATTGATGTACATTTTATGTATTTTGTTAAATTACAAGTTCATCTCAAAGCAGATGATCGACATCACGGTAATCAGCTCAACGATGCCATACTATATTCCATGGAGAGACACTGAAATGGTGAATCTATATAGCCTAGATGTAGGAACGGTATGTGAGTTTCTTTTAGCACAGAAAGGCGGTGGCTTAGCCTCGTGGTTGTAACGGTAGCTCAGGCAAGCTGAAGGCCCGGGTTCGATTCCCCACATGGGTACAATGTGTGAAGCTCATTTCTGATTTCCCCTGCTGTTATAAAGCTGGAATATTTAAAAAAAACGGCGTAAAATCATACTCACTCTTTTCAAACATAAAAAGGGACATCCCAATAGTGAGAGGCGAGTGCGTAGGTTTAGTGTACAGTGCATTGCACCCATCTGACAAGGATCTATCTACTTAATTGACAAACAAGATGGGTACTTTAAAAGAAAACAAACAAAACCTAAAACATCCATTACTTTGAGGAGGCTATATCTTTGCGTTTGATAAAATTTGATAGGGAAGTGAAGATATATTAAACATGTTTTCATTATCAGTGTTATGATTATGAAATGATTATTATAGAATAAATTATTCAACTCGCAAATATTCTAGAAATTTGAAGAACATAAAACTATACATCTATGCAAAGTCATGATTATAAAATCAGAATCATAAACTTCATGATTGAACATGCAATTACATCAATATAGTTCAACTGGTCTATTGTGGTGCTACAGTATTGTCTGAAACAGAAGTTATGACGTTGTTGCCCATTTGTACTTTTGTATTTCTATCAGGTAGGAGCTGCAGCATTTTATACAAGCACAGCATACTGGAACAACCGGAAGCAAAGGCATTCGTCCTATCAGACTTGCTAAGTGCACTTCAAGCCATCAGCGACAGAAACTCAAACTCCAGGCCAAAATAGTCAATAATATTCTATACGAATATACAAAACTATCGGACCAAGGGCAACAGGTGGATCTCTAACATAGATATTTATGGAAATGTAAAAGCAGACACACTGGCGAAGCTTGCTCTAGACAAAGCAGAGATAAAGCCTATTCCATTTCGTAAACTAGCGATAAAAATCAAAATCAAAGGATATTTATCAAGCGAGTTTAAAAGTATCTACACAATCAAATGAAATTAGACACAGTGATCGACAAAAGCATTGTCGTCATTGTCAGCATTAATTCAGTTCAGTCATTGCACATGTGAAGCCACAAGGGGGCGTCATGGTCAGTACCTGGTCACACCACCTCTTGCAGCCGTCACTGCTCGACACCTCCTTGGCTACTGATTGCACAAGTCATCGGATTTTTTCGTTGGGAATTCTTCGCCATTCCTCCTGTAAGGCGTTGGCGTTGACGGACGCGTCGATCAAGTTCGTTCCACAAATGTTCAATCGGGTTGAGATCAGGCGATTTGGACGGCCATGGAAGGACATTGATGTTCTCATTAACAAGGAAATTAACTGTTGCACGTGTTGTGTGGGGCCGAGCGTTGACATGTTAGAACAGCTCCCTCTGGCGGTCCAAAGTTTGGAGGAGGTGAGGACGCAAAATTGGGTCTAGGTATCGGTTTGCTGTAAGATTGCCCTGGACAACCACTAACTGTGATCTACCCGTGAAGGATATGGCTCCCAAGACCATGACACTCCCTCCACCAAATCGGTCCACCTGTCGAACGCAGTTCGGCGCAAAACGTTCATGTCGACGTAGGCATACACGTTGTCTTCCATCCCGTCGTTGAAGAAGAAAACGTGACCCATCGCTGCAACAAACGCGTCGCCAGTTCCTGAGATCCCATGCCTGTACTCTGTTGCACCGTCGGACACGTCGTTGACGGTGTAGACGTCGCAAGTCAGGTCCAACTTTTGGTCGTCTCGCTCGAATTCACACTTCCCTCAGACGATTTCTGAAGATTGGTCGGAAATTCTTTGCATACCAGGCACTTGTCCTGCAGTGTCCGTTGCTGTAGCAAATCGATTCCGAAGGTGATGCAACCGAATGTACCGATCCTGAGCAGTGGTGGTCACTCTTGGTCTTCCAATTCTGGGATGATCTTGAGTCGAATTAGTGCGGATATATCGATCCCATAGTCGAGATATGGTGCTTTGGTGAACGTTGAAGTGTCTTGCAACGGCAGACTTGGACTGCCCTGCTTCCAAACGTCCAATGGCGATATTTCGGTCAGCTGCAGTTAATCTTTGCATTTTCCGATCTCCGTCCACGTCAGAAAATTCGTGATGAACTGATGATTCTGTACGGTCTTTTATAGTCAGTGTCTTTACTCTTGTTTCCACCACTTTGCACGTGCATTGTGCTGAAAACTTTTTCTGAAAGCAATTTCCGTGCATCCTTTGCATTTTTGCTGATAAACGTTTACAAAAAATATTTTGAGATGTGTTTTCACGCTCAATGCACAACAAACATGACATGACTGACGGGAATCAAACATAAGAATTGTCTTTATGACGATTGCTGGAAAGAAAATCTAATTTGAATTCTCAAATCACCTATGCGTTTCTTTTTTTGAAGAGTGTAATATCGGCAGATGGCTATACAAAATTCAACCCAAGATCCACCAAAAGCCATACTCATACTCAAAGTAAAGTAAAGTTGAAATTGCCATCTCGCGCCTCAGACTCGGTCACAAATAGCACTACGATAAGGTTTGTCCATCTTGCAATCAACCGGAATCAATTGCTCACTTCTTATTGAAACATCAAGACCGCGCCCCAGCCAGGGCTCGGTTACAACAAGAATCGCAATTAGATCCGCTCTCTGTCGTAGATCTCCTAAAGCCAAGAGATGCAATAGCGAAGGCCAAACTAACTCATTTTCTGAGAGATGGACGGCAAGCCTAACGTATATAAACAGAGCAGCGAAGACAAAAATGAAATTATATCAATATACGAAAATATATATAGAAATCATATCAATACAAAAACGGAAATTCGGTGAATACCAAACTCGCAACAGATATGTGTACCGTAGTCACACACATGAGAAAAGATGTGTAGACTTATGTTTCTACATATTCTATAATTGCATTTTAAACCACATTTGTAATTGTTTTGTTGCTGGAGAGGTATTATTATAAGCAAGTTGTACTCGTTTACCTATCTAGGTTTTTCTGTATGCTTACACTTCATCATCCATCGCTTACAAAATTATTCTGGATGCATTTTAGGACAGACATGTCAACGGAAGTTTAAAAGAAAATATTTGGTTTTGTTAATTAGCCTCCACGAATGCATAAGGTATTAATAAAAAAGGTAAGCTATTAACTACACCTGGAAGCTCGGGACAGCTGATTAAGGGGAAATGGTTGTAATGTGTTGATTGATTACGCAACACATCAGTACAGGTGTAATTTCCGGGGTAGAATAGGTCTTCAGCAACCCATGCTTGCCGTAAAAGGTGACTATGCTTGTCGTAGAAGGCGACTAACGGGATCGGGTGGTCAGGCTCGCTGACTTTGTTGATGCATGTCATCGATCCCAATTGCGTGGATCGATGCTCATGATATAAATCACTTGATTGTCTGGTCCAGACTCGATTAATTACAGACCGCCGTCATATAGCTGGAATATTGCTGAGTGCGGCGTTAAACAACAAACCAATGTAATTTGAATTAATACCACACTTGTTAACGTGCATAAATGGACACTGTGAGAAGGATCGATGAGTCACAAGA